ATGTATTTTATACAACTGTCGTAAGTATATCGTCAATGGAAATCCACAGTTATGAGAAGTTCTTAATGTTTTAAGAACATGTTAGGTGTAATTCGAGGCCAGGCAGTTTAGTAAAGTGTAACCAAGGATTGAAGTTAAGTTACTGAAGTTACAAAAAAATCGAGAAATAGAAAATTAAAGAGAAATTATTTAAATATAGTCTTTATTGATAAATGATTAATTTTCCTTTTTAATTAAATAAATTATCTCGAAAATATTACGATATGTTTTTTATCGTCGTACCGTATCGTATACCTAATTATTATAAAAAAATTAATTACATAACCACAAATATCGAATAATTAGATTATTAAAATTGTTAGCTTGTGGTATTTCCCTTGTTTCTCTGTGTTTGAATTGGACTAAGCACTTATAATACACGTCATCGATTTATTAACTTACAAGATATTGATTTGTCAACTGACTAAATAGATGTCTTGTAAGTCCGTGAAATTTAAATCCACAAACACAATTTTTTTATTTTCAAAAAAGATAAGTATGTAAATATTAAATTATTCTAACTTTCGTGAGCGTTATACTAAACTGATATATAAACACGGCTAAACACTCACGTATATACGTCCGGTGGCGGCACCGACTAGTTTCGAGCCCATCGGGGGCCCTTCATCAGGGTTCTCTCAGGGCTCATCACTGTGTGAGCGACGGGCCGCGTCCGCGAAATAATACCAGTGCCACTCATCCTGATGAAGGGCCCCCGATGGGCTCGAAACTAGTCGGTGCCGCCACCGGACGTATATACGTGAGTGTTTAGCCGTGTTTATATATCAAGTATGTAAATAGTTATGTAACGGGATCTTAATAAAATTTAACATCAAGTTTGCATCGTACTTTGTTTTTTTTCACCATGAAGACAAACAACATAGAAAATTTAACATTTAAATATTGATTTATTTCCTCGTATCATAAAGGTATATGGTGTATTTAAATGAATAGGAACAACTCAATAAATAAACACGTGCATTTTAATGATTAATATCCACCATAAAATTCTAAATATGATTTTTACAGTTTACAGTACGTTATTAAATTGTAACGCAAGTATTGTGTACGAAGTAATGACCATTATATAAGTAGGTGGCAACCGCATATCCACATCTATAGAGCCGAAAGCTTGAATCCGCGTCTGACCACTCGAAATGTACTCCAACATGTCTCTTGAAGCCTCATAGAATTTCTCGTCTAAAACAAATTGAAGGAAAGTAGATTTTAATTTGACCAAGATATTAGGTTACTTACTAACATTAACATAATGAAGGCATTTAATTTTATACATTGATATATATACATACCAACTAATGATAAGATATAAATTTTTCCAATACGTCGTTTCAAATGTTCCACATTATTAAGAACTCTTTGCCCGGCTTTGGATAAAACGATCACCAATATAAGATTAATGACAAGTCGCAAAATATACATCACAATTGCCACATTATAATAGTCATGCTGGAACATAAATTATAAGTACTAAGTACGTCACGTGGTCGGATTTCATAGGTTTACGTTGCCTCGTCTACAAAGAGATTTAGTCTTCCTCATACTCACCTTGATACTTAAAGATGCTATATCGTAAAGAAATAAACCGACGTAAAAAGTTCCCGATGTTAACATCACAGCCAACTGGAATTAATTACATAAGATTAGATTACAACTAAACGTGAGTTTCACTGCCGTAAAAATATAGCAAAAATATTTTTGTGATCATTTGCATTGGAGTTTTGGCAGTAGAATCTCACGGTAACAAAAACATCAAATTGTATTATAACGGAATACCTGTAGACCGAAAATAGTATTAAACAGCTTTATAGCTTCCGTAACATGTGTTAATGCCTCAAACCATTCTGATATCTTTTCTACGTACTGTTTACATAAAAATTCATTTGGTAGTGTAGATGTTAGCTGAAAATTAGCTGATACACAACGTTTATGCTTAACAACCGATCTTATTATACATTCCAATTGTTCAGAAAACATAAACAATACTGCAATCATTAACAAACATTCGTAAATATAGCGAAAATCCCACCAAAAAGAATTTATTTTTAAAATCATCATAACATAAAGAGGTAAGCCATGATCAATAGTGAAGTATTTAGAATGAAATATAGGGAATGTTATTTTTAGTAAAAAATACGCGATTAGAACTACTGTAAAAATTGTTTTCATCTTTTCGAAATTCTTCAAATAAATATTGTCTTTATTAATAAAATCATTGTTTAGTTCCAAAGAGGTTAACATCTTTTTAAAATTATCGCCATGATAAAAAGATAAAAATATAATGAATGTAGAATTAATACAGAAAACATTCAAGAATATAATATCAGCGAAACGAAAGTACATTTTGAAATAAACACATGCAAATATATTACTTATACTTAGAAATAAATCTAATAAAATAACAAAATAAATATAATAAACATTTCTTCGACTCATGAAAGATACATTGCGAAACGATAGTAAGATATTTCCTATAATAAAAAACAAACGAAAAGACTTTAGAATTTTCATTATATTTCCACAAAACGTAATGTTACGAAATTCAATATGAAATGATCAAAAAATAGCTAGCTGTTAATATTCAAAAGTAAAAAATAATTTAGTAATGAATAATTTCATTAAGTTTGTAACTATGACAACGGAATTGTAAATATTTCGTTGTTAATCATAATTCGTATTTTCTACATATGGTTTTAGTATTTAACTAATGTATGAATTAGGAAATATGTGTAATCCGACATTATAAAAAATTCCTAAATTGCCGTTTATATGTTTGTATTAAATAATCTTTGAAACAATATTTTCTCATCATCAGCTCACTATACGTCCCCACCGAGGGGCTCGGAGCTTATCCAAGTTACGGGTAACTAGGCCATAGTCAACCACGCTGGCCCAGTACGGGTTGTGTGACTTGACACATATCTTTTTAATTCTTCTCAGATATGTGCAGGTTGCATCACGATGTTTTCCTTCACCGTAAGCACGTCGGATAAATGTACATATGTAAATCGAAAATCTCAAAACACATTGGTACAGGGTGGGATTCGATCTCAGGACCTGCAGATTACAAATCAAGTGTCTAAACCTCTGAGCCATCAACGCTTCCTATATGTACTATATATACGAATAATTTCTACTTAACGAATATCTATACATGTGTTAAAAATTGTATGTTATATCTAGGTTTCATATATTTACGGTAACGTTAAAGTTAATATTTTGTTTCCATATATATCAAGAATTACTTTGAAATTATACACCAAGGGTTGTTATTAATTTTTTAATGTTGGTTTTTAAACATATGTACAAAGAATAAATGCATTTTTAATTTTCTTTTTATGTCGATGGAAACGAAAAAGTAAAAAAGAGTTAGAAAAAGTAGAAATAATATTACAAAAAGTAAAATTTAACCAATAAAATGCCCCTTTACAATTTGAAAATGGAACAATTTCTCTGCTTTTTTCGTATATGTCTCGATTAAATAATTAAAACAAATCGTTGACAAAATTTCAGATAGAACAATCAGACGAAGCCATTAATTTGCGGCCGGCAAGTTAGGACCGCTATAATTCAAGGTGGATTTATTTGGCTACATTCGCCGCCACTCAATCCTATTCTGTTTTCTATTTAACGCAATCAATTTAAATATTTAACAAATTAAGTTCAATATATTTATATCTTAATCAGATATTCCAGACTTAAAAAAAAAACAACGTAACTCATACTTCGTTGGGTTGTTAAAAATACATAAATTTTGTTAATACTTCGGAACTAAACTAAATATGAGATTTTTGTGCATTTCCCATAGTAATTATTAACCCTCGTTTCACGTAACTTACCTTCAGCAACAACCTTAGCATTACAACATCATTTATTTATCTATCATATTCTTAATATAGTAAAATAAAAAAAATATACAAAATATATTATATTAAAAATATAGCCGACTGCATAATCCCATGACTCAAACAACCAGTGGTCAGGGCTACAGAAACAGGAACCTTCTCGTGATGCGCGCGGTGTCTATGATAACTGCCTTTTGTATCGGGCCCTTAATTTTTTTTATATCATAAGGTGGCAATAAGCGAGCGGCTACCTGAAATCGCTGAGATAGCGAAGTGACCGTTGCCCATAGACACACGCAATTGCATATCCGTGTATCTATTATCCTTAATCCAACTGTTTAGGGAGATCTTCTTGAGATGTTAGTCGAAGCTCTTCGCGTACAACTATTAGTAAGTTCATCTAAAACTTTCTCTTTTTAACATAACCGTATATAAATGGAGAGGCGATTGCTAGCTTTTGTTTCATTCTGATTTACACGCGCTGTTAATGTTACGTGACAATTAATGCCCTCTATATTATTAGTCAGAATCTACACCATCGCGCCAAAGCGGAGAAGATCAGATAAACATAAAACATTACGTTTTATATCCAGTCCATTTATAGAGATCAGTGTCTGCACGCCACAATGGAAAATTATTTTGTTTTCTGATTGGTAATTGAGCTGAGATAAGCTTATCCAAACGAACTGCAATAGTAACAGATAGCACGTTATTATGGATTACATTGTCCAAAGATAAACTATGAAAACATTATTTCAGTGTTTAGAAATGTAGATAAATATATAAATATCATTATAGGGCCAAAATTATACCTAAATAAATTACATTAGAAATTACTATTAAACTAATCCTAAAAATCCCGAAGTATAAAGCAAGTCATCGCGTGATTTGGGCTACATTTTTAATAGTGAAATCCGTAGTCTGGAATAAAAACAGTAACACGACATTATACTAAATTTAACAAATGTTTGCGCGTAAAATAGAGTTATTACTACTGGACTTTAAACCATGAACTTATTTCAACCGTATTAAATACTTCAAAAACTTAAAAATGTGACCCACAATCCGTAAATATCCAATAAATGGATGAAAAAAAGACAGCTCGTGAGGGATTTGAACCCCCGACCACCAATATTTAATTATATTAAACGGGCGCTCTAACCGCTGAGCTAACGAGCTCGTGCTTACAATTATTAACATTGACATTGCTACAAAACATTTACATTACTGTTTCAAAATTGTCCGTAAAATTTTCTTTTATACAGTATAGTACACTTTCGTTATAGGCAATAGAGGGCGTAAGATAAAGTTCCTTTATCTCTTTGACTACACAAGCAAAAAGTTTATCGCGATTTATACTAGATTACTTAACGTATCAAAACAAAACAAATGCGAATCGAAATATTTAAACAAGAAATGATTACTATAAAAACATGGCATTTGTTTTTACACTTGTAAATGTTAACGTTCCTATCGATTTACTTTCAGCGAACTGGCAGAAAAATATACAAACTTTTACTTAAAAAAATAAATGACCGGTTGTCAATTTATAAATAAACTAGCTGTCGCACGCAACTCCGCCTGCGCGGATAGTAGCTTATTCTCAGACCTACTGAATATGCATATAAAATTGAACATTGTGATACGAGAATGTTATATATAATTAAAACGGTCTAACGCCCAGTCTAACAATTTTTTTAGGATATAATCATGTGCTCACGCTGGCTGTGCGTACGCCGTTAAAGTAAATTAATGACTGAATTAAAATTTGTCGTCCATGCAATACAAACTGCGGCAGCTATTAATTCTACTGCAATGGAGCCAAAGCAAGGAATTTATGCCGCCGTAATGGCAATAACTTTAACCATTATGTATCATTATTCTAATATAAAATATCGTGATATCGTTTACATAAAATTATTAGGTATTTAATACGAGTAGAAAATATAATATTTGTCAAAGTAAATAATTCGTAATCAGACTTTTAAAAAAATAGTTGTATTCCCTTCTTCTCTACAATAATTTTAACAGTTTCAAGTTGCACCTTTTGTCAATTTCTTTTAAAAATGTGTCTTTTTTTGCTTACCATTATTATTATTAGACGATTATGCGAATATTTGGATGATATTTGTTAGTAGTTAACTCCGGAACGACTCTCTGAAATTTGTCATATATGTAGAACATAAATTATATTAACATTGAAAGAACACATAAGATACTAATTAAGTTTTTTTTTAATCCTGCGCGGACGGAGTCGAGGGGTATAGCTAGTCTATCATATAAAAATGTATTTATAATGATATTTTGCACAACTTTGCAGCCTTTTTAGCGCTATAAATCCTAGATAATGGTTTTCCCGCTACCGGATTAATGATATGGCTATGTATTGTGCACGGTTGACCGGCCTACGTGCATTTTATATGGATGTAAATTTCGAATTTACATAATTTTACTTAGTATGATTAAGATGTGTTAAAATTACAAAATATCACAAAAACCTCGGTAAACACATCGGAGTTTCATGAGATTTACTCAAAAACTACTAAATTACAGTAGTTTTTAAGTTCGGAAATGTACAGTTTTATTGTTCTATTCATAGCGTTAATTTTATTTTAAAATGTTTTAGACAATGTATCTTGAATTGGCGGCTATGGGTTTAAGCACTTGACTTAATCTGCAGGTCTCGGGTACCAATGTGACTTTCGATTTATATATGTACCTTTATCCGATGTTCTTAAGGCGAAGGAAAATATCATGATGCAACCTGCGAAGAAATTGCCAGCTTGGTAGACTGTGGCCTAGTCATCCCTTACTTAGGCTCCGAGCACCTAAGTGGAGTCGTATAGTGAGCTGATGACTGAAATTGTAATCAACGTATGATACGTAAACCTAAACACACTATTTTAGAAAACATCGCTGGCCTAGACAAAATGCATTAAAGTTATTAAACAGTCTCAGCACTCTGTAGATAAAGTTTTCACTAAACATAAAACATTACACTTTTGAAAATTGCAAACCTTTTATATTATTAAATTTCTGACTGCAGCTTTTAATGCGGGTACGCTTTTGACATAAAGTTTGATAAACCACTATCATATGATGATTAAATGTGTATATATTCCAGACTATTCAACAGAAATCATATTTAGTAAGAATGTTATGTTCTTGTTAAAAAATAAAACAAAAATATACTCTGACTTTTATTAAAATCTCCGTTTTTGTTATGGTAGTAACAGTGTTAACACTAGCAACTGCTTCAGTTGCGCAAATCGAGCCGTCTCAACCGGTGCTACCACGACCACACAGATAACAGACGTGAAGTGGAAGCAATTCCGCGTTTCGTCTGATGGGTTTGCGTTTGCGAATTCTTATGAGGAAGGGATCGGAACTGGAGATAATGGTGATAGGTAATGCAACTGAAAATGGGAATATCTATGGGGTGGCGGTCACTTCGCTCTTTTGGCGAATTTAGGTATAACAAAATACTGCAGTGAAATTTGTTTTCTCTTAAATAAGCAGTCTTCAATGTAGATTTCTCACTTTAAGTGTACACTTATGAAATTCCTTAGCGACCATTCAATCACTCTGAGTACAGCAGTTAGTTATAATCTTTGGAACGTAACAATAACGTTACATCTGCTTTTCTTTCCTTCAGTAAACACTTTCCAGAGCACCATCGTTAAAGATGAGACGCGTTGATTAATGTCTTAAATGAATGGATGTCTCAACAAGCTCAGCCTTTTATTTTTAATGAACGAAGAAAAATCGTTTTACTTCTTGACTTTTAAGTTTTTATCTTAAAATTAAAACTAAATTTAAAAGTAAGGTAAAATGAATACTTTTAGTAGCTGTATATCTTTGAAATCTCTATTGAATTTAAAGAATTTGTAAGTAAAAAAACTACAAATATTAAATTAAAGCATAAAGATTTCTTGAAATTAACGAATTGATTACGATCCGAAGTTCACTATTATGGCGAGTACACAGTATATCAGAGTATGTTTGTATAAATACGTTGCTATCAATACCCAGTCTACACTCCAATCAATCGTTTCATCCTCATCGTTGCGTTACATAACCTAACAATAATCTTTCGATTTGTTTTCTCAATTCTTATTTATACGTATTCGTACAGATACAATCCATATTATTTTTAAGATTTAAACCAAGCAAAATAAAAAGAAAAACATTTAAGACCTTGTTATATGAAAGTTATAACTTCAACGTACTTTCAGTTCGAATAAGAGATGGCACTGTTTTTAATTAATTGAAGACATTGTAAAGAAAATTATTTTAAATACCTTTTCAGAATCATAACTCAGAATATAATAAAAAAATAATTATCTGCAATCAGATTAATTTTGATTAATATCTCGTAGAATAAAGTCAATATATATTATTTATCTTAGTCTTTTATGTTCCATCAAATCTTGTAAATTTATTATAGCGCCATCTTGTTTGTATTGATACAAAACAAGAATAAAAATGGCTAAATTATGTAATTACTTTTTAATTACATAATCTTGTTCTAATATTGTATAGGATGATATGTACATAATTATATAGCTATTAAGGCGATGTAAAATTTTCATATGTTGTCAATTTTTGTATATGAAGCCATACAGCTTGGTGGCTCAGCGGCCCAGAGCAAAGCCACGACCACCACTATGACATGGGATATCCATCTCATAGTGGTGGTAGTGCTTTTGTTCACCAATTCTTTTTTTTTTCATAAACTAAGAGTTTTTAGTAATTAAAATTTTTGCACAACATTGTAGAACCTTCTGCTACGTTTTGGCTTTAATAAAATGTAAAAAAAAAATTATGTACTATACCTACGTATAACTTTATTTTAACTTGTATTTTTTTATAAAAATTTATAGAGACTGGTACATTAAGAGATGCAATATGTATATTTAAGCCATATAAAAATCTTGCATATTTTATTTATAACTAGCTGTCGCCCGCGACTCCGTCCGCCTGGAATGAAAAACAAATTAATTAGTTCTTGGCATTTATTTGAATTTATCTCACCTTTTAAACCTTCCCTTGACCTCCACGAACATTACAAGACCAAGATAAGATAAATACGTTCAGCTGTTCTCGAGTTTTAGCGAGACTAACGAACAGCAATTGATTTTTATATGTAAAGAAAAAGATATCAACTAATCATATCAAGTTACAATATATGACGTAGAAAATAAGGAACGATTGCGGAAGAAACTTCGGCTTCAAACTTAGCATTCTGTTTTAACCGAATAAAATTCCTTATAAATTTAATTACCATAGTATTGACTTAACTAAGACAGGTTAAATACACAAAGTATACTGTTAAAGATTTTCGTAACGCTTTTAAAAGAGTTAAACGCAGTAAAAGGAACATAAAGGAAACGGTAACACCGCTAATTAGAGCAGCAAAGCTTTGCGAGGTAAAGTCGATGAGTTCTTTGTGAATGAACCGGTCTTTAGTTAACAATGCAATTGAAAGCTAAGTTGTTTATAATATAGCTAGCTACATTACCACTACTACTAGTGGTTGTTACTACATATTACATCAAATACTAGAGGTTTTCTACAGTTTTGTACGAATTACATATTTACGTTTCATATTTAGATGTTTCATCCTTTCCGATCAACTCTCAAAATATTTGGTGGCCAGTAACGAAACATCTGCCCGAAAACATGTTGTATCTTTTTTAAAAAGCATCTTCTTACTACTACGGCACTGTTGTTAAGTTGTTATTGTAAAAATTTTTAATTATAATCAAAAAAATAATACTCTCTCAGCTCTTGAGGGTTTCGGGAAACATGCGAAAAAAAAGCAAAACTAGACTTTAAATAATTCTCCCCTCTGGTTATATAACCTTTGTTAATTAAACCTGATGTTCAGTATATTTTGACGATTACTTTCGTTTGGTACATAAATAAAATGTAGAAAGTAAATCTGAGTAGAATTTCGCTAGGAAAATTACAAACAGAATATACGTAATTAGACTTACATTCCTATATGTAGTTTCGGATCTATTTCATCATCTACTTGGATTGCTTCACATTGAGGCTTGATGTTAAACTATTCACATAAACATTGTTCCAAAAATGAGAAGTTAAAATATCAAAACATGTCACCACGTTCAATAGAAGTAGGTCATGCATATCTGACCTGTCGCACTCTGCGCTACGGCTTACGTTAATCCGCTTTGTACTGCCGTTTGCAGCCTTCACAGTTCAACCGCTATTCATCCGTTTGGATTTTCGATATTTTGACAACGATAATATCTAACTTTATCTTCCATTCTTATAGAAGAGTAAAAATTATTAGTGTGTTTAATACTTAAATTAATTGAATACAACTAAAATTCAAAATACCTTAAATGTTATGTTTGAAGATAAATTTTTGATATTCTAACCGTGGGTTTCCTAGACCAAAATCTCTGTATTAAACACATCGTCATCCCCGTCATTATCTTTGACAAAACAGAGATATTGAGGATTTCAGTCTGAGAATTCCGCGGTAAGAAACAGAATACAGAACATGTTAATCGGCGTATAAATAGGAAAGAGTTATTGACAAAATAATAAACGTTCTTAATTTAAAACTGTTTTAAAACAAACCTACTAGATTATACTCTATTAGGTTACGGCATATATTGCCTTTGTATTTTAAATAATTATTCTTTGAGATACCGTAATGCAGAAGAGCTTTAGTGAACCCTCTTTAGGAACTATCGGAACTGGGTGAGAATTTTGTTGAACATATTTTGGTTACGTAGTTTAAATAAGTAGCAACTGATCATTAGTAAATTAACTTGATTTGAACAGTAAAACAAAAATAATCTAGAAACATACTTATAACAGCATTTCAATAGCATGGATAAATGGATGAAAATATTTGTATTTTGCTCTAGAACGATTTCCTTAAATGCAATTGCAATGAGTCATATGAGTTTACATCAAAACAAAATAAAATCAACAAGATTCAAGGGTAATTTTATGTGGAATGGCCGAATTGGAATCGTTACAAGTTTTATGCTCGACCTTCCATGGAAATTGTCGTGGCAGGTAAAGGCTTTTGTCTCTAAAATAATAGAAAAAAGTTTTTTTTTACGTTTGAATATATTTGAATACTTTTGCGGTTTTGCCAAAGCCCATTTGCTACTTTAAAATGACTTTTCAGCAATAACAAGCTAGTTTCAAGCAACTTATAAATACCATATTTTGTATACGTTGTGCTGTGGGTTTACACTGTTGAAATAAACATACACAAATATACTATCGTCTTTCTCAGTTTCTTTAAAAACACCTAGATATTGTTGTATGTTTTATGTAGATGTTTAGCAGTGGAAACACGGTTATATAGGGAAAATATTTTCTTTCTGAGCATCCTCTCCTCCGTCGATTAAAGGTAGGCAACGCATATGCAATTGTGTATGTCTATGGGCAACGGTCACTTCGCTACTTAAGCGATTTCAGGTGTCCGCTCGCTCGTTTGCCACCTTATGATATAAAAAAAAACTGAAATTACAGAAAAAACTACTTATTAAATATAAAGTTGTATTTACAGATATTTATACTAGTGTTGATAATCTATAAATTTATCATTCATCTACTCGTCGTATATTATTTGGAGAAGACATTGTTAATATTGGAAGCAACACTTATTATAGCCGAAGTTTTCTTTACGGTTGACGTTATTTTACATTTACTTCACGCGTTTTGGCCTCTAGTCAGACTGCATATGAGAGTCTTTAAAAGGAACTACGTCGTGCTGTTTTATGACGTCATATCTTTAGCGCCATTATCAATTATATGTAAGTAAACGTACTCTTCATAATCAAATGATTACCGCATTTAAAGTTATTTAATGGTTGGTTGATTTCTGAAACCGATATATCTGTTTCAAACATATTACTACCTCTGTTTCATCAAAGATAACTACAGGGATGAAAGGATTTTGATCTCAGAAACCCACGGTGACTATCATAGTTATTGTGAGAAATCCACACTAAGAGTCTACATCCTTAGTGACCAATTATGTATTCTGAGTGCGTCAAATAAGCAATAAACTAGAGTAAATATGGCCATATTATTTCCAGTTAAATACAACCCAAATTATATATATTTAGCAACGATTGGCAGTTGGTTGGGTGTTGGAAGAATTTATAGAATGTATGTTCTATTTACAAATATCAAAGAAACAGTAAGTGTAAGTATTTATAATCAATTATTACAATAAAACAACGATAAATTAATTATTTAACTTAGTGTTTGTGCAAGTGTATATATTTGCTACCAATTTATAGTAGCATATTAAGTTATTTTTATAGATGACTAATTTTATAATATACAAATTTTTATATTTGTTTAACTTTATTAATTTTTTTTGTCATCATTATTTTAGATTTCTTGTGATTGCTTTATTCTTGTTATTTAAATTCTCTTTATTTACTTTTATCATTGCTAGTGATTAAAATTATACTTTTATTGTCATTATAATATTGAAATGCTTTTAATGTTTATATGTTAAATCTTTATCTAAACATCTATATATATAAAAATCAGTTGCTATTTGTTAGTCTGGCTAAAACTCGAGAACGGTTGAACGGATTTATCTTATCTTGCTTTTGAAATGTTTGTGGAGGTCTAGGAAAGGTTTAAAAGGTAAAAAAAATCGAATAGTTGCCGGGAGAACCCTTTAGAAACCTTTTTTTTTAATTCCGCGCGAATGGAGTCGCGGGTGGCAGCTAATATTAAAATATAATTATATTTTAGATGCGAAGCTATCGTATGAAAGTATATATTACGGAACATGTGTTATCAGTGATCTTGTTATCACACATCAGCACATGCCTGTGGTACTCAATGCACGTGCCACAATCTGATATGAAAGAATGGCATAAGCTCGGATATCCCGAACATGTTAATAGAAAAAAGTTGCAATTTAATAGGTAAGTTTTACCATATAATATAGGCCAACTACTAACCAACGCAGGGACATTTTAGTCAGTCCCTACTTCGCTTAGTCGGCTTCCGATTGCAACTTTTTTTTCATATCAAGTTTGTACCTTGTATGTTTTTATGCGAGGTAATAATTTATTTCAAACTATATGCAAGAAGTATATAGCATTGAAATATATATGACGGTGCCTACAAGCTGGAATTCAGAACGTGGAAATTACAAATGCATTAACCACTACGCTATCGATAAAGATAAATCAAAATAATGTTATGTTTTTGGCCATGTTTCAGTTACGAATCTTGCTGGTATTATTGTACGTGTCGGTTATTTAATGTAATTTTTGGCGATTCTTTTCCATTGGTAAGGAGAAAATAATTATTTAGACCAGTAAATAATTATATTTAGTCGAATTCTGATAAGCGAGAAACTTCTAAAAGGGAGATTTATTGTCCGGTCCCGACGAACATCCTTGATAGGCGAAAATTCTGGTTAGAGAGAAACCTCTATATACTATATAATAAACTCTAATAAACTCTCGCTTACCCAGGTTCGCCTGTATTACTTTTAGTTATCCTTTAAAACATCTCTTTTTGAGTCTTAATAAAGTTTTAAAAGTCAGTCCTTTTTTGTTAAAATAATATCCTGGACTGGTATTATATGCGTAATTCCAGCAACAATGTATTTTTTCAGCGTGCAAGTGAAAAATTGCTTACATCATTTTTAATGCTATTCGGTTGCGTTTTCCTGCGTTACCAATTCATTGGAAACTTAACATGGGAAATGGTTCTGAAGCAACGGCGATGGTTTACGTTCGTAGATAGAGTGAGTAGAAATCATTAATTTATTAAAAATACAATAATCTAAAGTGCAAATAGCCTATTGCTTTACATTCCACTACATGCTTGTAGTTCAAATTTTTTAAAGGAGTAGGGGGCAAACGTGCAACGAATCTCCTAAAATTATTTGATCCGACGCCCATGGACATCTGCAACGCCAGAGGAACCGCAGATCCGTTGCTGGCCTTTAAGGAAGGTGTATGCTCTTTTCTTGAAGGCCCTAAGTCGTAACTGTTTGGAAATACCGCTGTACGTAGTTTGCTGTGGAAGTTGTGTAGTTTTAAATACCTATATTTACTTTTGTTGAGTCACAAATGTTTGTAGTAAAAATCAATGTCGGGTTAAATGAAATGTTTAGGGGAAGTATTGTTATTAAGCTCTAAAGCTAAGGTAATTGAAATTGTTACAAGAAATATAAAAAAAAATACTAATTAAGTAATTTTATTAAGTAAATTTTGTAATTATTTCCAGTATCACCACATGATAAACTATTTAAAATTACGCGGAGCCTCGGCTACCTTGACCGAACAGACTGAAAGATATAAGACTCAGCTTTGGAAAATGAAAGACGGTATCCTAAGTTCGAATTACTTTCGCCAGTTACCGATTTCCTTACAGATGGAACTTATATTTGATATTAATGTTGGACACTTCCATGATACAATGCTTTTTAGTCATTGTGGTATGTTATATTGTCTAACTTATTTCTCAATATAAAGTAATTTAAACTCAAACAACACCAAAGTTACATGTGTCAAAAACGACCAAATCACTTTAGGGAAAAGTAATGTTTGGTCGTACTCGCTTAGGCGAGGAAACTGCGAAGCGGTCAGAAAACTAGTGAACCGAGTTGAATAAAAAAAACTATTTACTAATAGAAATCCTAACTATCTCCGCAACATATTTTTACTCTACCAAGACGAATCCAGTATTAAGTAGAATTAAAAAATAATAATAATAAGTATATTTTTAGATGAAGCATTTATGCGTCAAGTTTCCTTACTAATGAGACACGAGATATATTTAAGCGGTCAGCAAATCTGGTGCCAAGGCGTAGTGAAAGGAGGAATGATATGGATAAAGAAGGGTGTCGTAGAGTTATTGTCCGATGAAGATGATGAAAGTCCAATGATCGCATTTAAAGAAGGAACCGTTAGTAATTTAAATAACTGCTGTAATCTTTCTTCTTACTTATATTATAAATGCGAATGTTTGGATAAATGAATGGATGTTTATTTAAAGATATCTCCAGTACGGCTGAACGGATCGCGTTGAAATTTGTCATACGTATAGAACTTAGATTGGAAGAACACATAGACTACATTTTTTTTTAATTCCGCGAGGACTGAATCGCGGGAGACAGCTAGTTAGTCAATAACTTTAGGAGTCTTTAAGTGTAGATATAAAACTGTAACATCTGAGGAACGCCAACTGGCCATTTACCGACTTTGAAAGTTAAAGAAAGGTCTATAAATAAATTTTATTAATGTTATTCTTTGGATTTTTATAGGTTCTTGGAGAGATATGTTTATTTTATTCAATTCCAGCGAAAGTAACAATAAAAGCTGCAACTTATGTAGAATTACAGGTAAATAAATAAAATTCTTTATTAAATCATACTTTTTTAAGCGTTAAAAGACGTTATTCGTAATATTATTAAACATTTTCCATCTAAAAAGGTGCTACGTCGAACAGAATTTTTAAGAGCAATGAACGAAAATCCAGTTAAACTCAAAGGAATAAGGGACAAAGTTGAAAGTCGTCTTTCAAATTCAAAGCGGAGACAAGTAATTAAATTTTGTATTTACAACTTAAAAAGCTTACTAGATTTACTTAATAGATTTAGCTAAGATAATTTAAAATATAAACATATCCTAATAAACTTTCATATTGTGTATGCTACTGAGATTTATTGTTAATCATAAAACGACTGAATATGTTAATTACAGGCATTTCATTATAAAACATGCTAGGAATTTATATTTATTAGTAAGTATAGTTAATTTCTTTAAGGAAGCAATAACAAATTATGATAAAGGTGATTCAAGACTTATAAGAACACGGTATCGACCTATGAAGGTATTCAAAGAACATTTATCTGGACTTGAAGAGGAAGATTCTACATTCGTAGATGATTCCCATTTATATTATAGAGGTAAATAATATAAAAAAAAATATAGTTTAGAAAAAACTTATTTACGAGTTTGAAAGGCAAATCACTTTTACAGAATTCAATTTATTCTAAAACGCTTTATTCCATTCTAGATGAAAATAACGTTCGTCAAAGAAAGTTTACAACGGAGTACTTGGAGCTTTATAAAATTTCTGAGAACGTTACAACGATGGATGAACCAACCATTTGCCTTAAATCTAAATTTCCATGGATTCTAGAGCCCAATACTGATTTTGTACGTCAACTTATCAAATTTTTTTGCAGTTAAAAATGTAATAATATCTATAAATTAGCTCACGAGGTTACCAACATATTGCGTGTGTAATCGACTACCATTATTCTGATAGTCGTATCAGTGAATGGACTAATAGCGAAGAGCTTCGACCTTAAGAAGCCCTCGTTAAACAGTTGAATACGAAAGGATATTATGGTAACCTCGCGCATTACGAGGAGGTTTCTTTCTATGCAGCCCTGATCACTAGTTGCTTGACTTAAAGCTTTCCGCAGCCGTTGGTGTACTAGTTTTTATTAATATACTAGCTGTCGCCCGCGACTACGTCCGCGCGGAATTAAAAAAAAAACATAATAAGTAGCCTATGTGTTCTTCCAGACTATGTTCAACATCCATGCCAAATTACACTGAAATCCGTTGAGCAGTTCTGGAAATACCTTCTAACAATTATCCATACATCTAAACTTTTTTATTTCTTATATTAATAAGATTATTTTTTTTATTTTCAGACATTAATGTTTGATATAGCACATTTTGTTATGATCTTATATGTTTGCGTAATGTCACCGTACTTGGCGATTCGAACTCACGAGAAGAGTTGGGAAAAAGTGATGACTACAGTTGTATTTAGCGGTTTGTTATTTAATATTTACATACAACTTACTACAGCTGTTGTTGATAAGGTATGTTTCCTATACCATTGTTATTACATATTAAACTAGCTGTCGCCCGCGACTCCGTCCGCGGGGATATATAAAAAAACTAAATATATAGATAAGTTAAATAATAAGCAGCTCTTCAAGGCATAGATTCAAAAAAAGAATAAATAGTATCGTATGTCTGTCTCCTGGCTCTAAGCTACCTCCTCACCAATTATGAACTAGATCGGTAAAGCCGTTCTTGAGTTATAAATAGTGTAACTAACACGCCTTTCTTTTATATATATAGATAGATAGATTAGTCAGAAAGAATCCTTTGGCATGAATGGCGCTTTCGTTACAAAGTCATATGTCAGAATGATTAGTGAATGGACATAAACGTCGCAGTTTAATAAGGCTAGTGTTGCGCCACTACACCGACAGTGTCGGAATTTCTTCCTAACACTAATAATATAAATGTGAATGTTTAGATGGATGGATTTTTGTTAGAAGGTATCTTCAGATCGACTCAATTCGCTGACATTTGGCATAGATGTAGAACATAGTCTGGAAGTACACATAAGCTACTAATTATTTATTTTTTAATTACGCACGAACAGACAGAGTCGCAGGCAACATCTCTTATAAAGGGATCATTGCACATCTTAAACATTGTTAATTTTAATGTTGGCACTCTTATCTGATCTTTTTATCTACATATTTACAAAGTTTGCTTTTAATTATATGTAAATCTATCTGTCAATTTCATATTTCCAGAATACAATAAAGGACACTGTGAAAGACATAGCCGAAGTAAAGATGGCGAATCTAGGATTTTACTTAGATGTTTTATCGATATTTCCTTTGCATATATTTACCGATACTCTTGACCCAAAAAGGGAATCAATTTTAAGTCAATTAGTGGTGATGCTACCTATTCTCCAAGTTTGGCACATTTGGAGCTACCTGTCTAAATGGGAAAAAAACTTTAATGTTAGCGTCAGGGTAAGATTTTTTTTTATATCATAAGGTGGCAAACGAGCGGGCGGCCACGTGAAATCGCTGACATAGCGAAGTGACCGTTGCCCATAGACATACGCAATTACATATGCGTTACCTACCTTTAATCGACGGAGGAGAGGATGCACAGAAAGAAAATATTTTCCCTTCCCATGCATCCTCTCATCCGGAAAGTCCACTTCCACTTCCCATCCTTCCCTTACAAGAAAAAGGATGGGAAGGGAAAGAGGACTAAATTAGGCCCCCGGGACGCACACTCACCAGACGAAACGCGGAATTGCTTCCACTTGACGCCTCTCTTCTGTGTGGTCGTGGTATTTCACCGGGCGAGTCGGGCCAATTCGTGCGAAGATGTTAAAGCGGGCTCTACCACTGTTTGGATTATTTAAAAAAATACTCCACAGATAATAATATAGATTGTTATGATACAAAAATCGTTTATATCGGATATTACTAAGACTTGTTTTAATAGCTTGCTGTTGACGTAATCAAGTCAAAACACGTAAACAAGTATACAGTGAAACATATTTGGAACTTTATTTCTAAGATGTTAAGATTGATTTTCCTCTAAACATTTATGTTAGAGTGTGTTCAGATCTGGCAAATACACCGCGCCGTAAGATCTGGACGCATCGTTACAAAGTGATCAACAAATGTTAATAATAATTTTTTCCACAGTTCATTTGCTTATTAAAGTACGCTCTACTAATCACGATCTCCTGTTACTGGTCAGGATGCTTGCTTTACCTTATTGCTTGTCCAAAGAAATTGTGCATAGATGTGAGTACATATTTTATATTTTTCTAATTGTTATAACATACTAGCCGTCGCCCGCGACTATGTCCGCGTGGAATGAAAAAAAAAATAGAATTTTTCTCACGTTTAAACCTTCGCTAGACTTTCGAGAACATTTCAATAGCAAGATAAGATAAATCCGTTCAGCCGTTCTCGAGTTTTAGCGAGACTAACGAACATCAATTGATTTTTATGTATATACATTATAACCAAATGAACTCTTTCCAGAGATCATGGATGGCTCAATTGATCTATTGGGAGACAAAAATCTTCGTCACAAACGACGCTAAGCACGAAAAACCTATAATAACTGCACTCGACTTCGGAACATCAATTTTCACAGGCAGTGGGACTTCGGACTTAGCTCCAGGAATAAGAGATCTAATATTTGTACGTATGTTATACAGTAATCAATCATGCAATATTAAACCGTATTAACATGAGTACAAGACATATTTTCGAATGCCAATAAATGTTATAAAGTAAGTAAAATAAGTACTAAAGAAAACTTCATTATATCTTGATATATTTGAATTCGTAAGAAATAATTTCAATAAAAAAAGTATTTTCAGGTAACTCTCTTGCTCATCGCTGGATCTTACTTAGGTTGTTTTTACATCGCTAAAGTTTGTAGCATTTATTTACTTCTTACACAACGAAAATTAAAATTCAAGGTAAAATTACTAATTACCATTTACCGTGTATTTCTGAGACCAAAGGCTCGTTTAAAATATATTTTTATCTCTGTTTTATCAAATATAATGACAGGGATGACGATATGTTATATACAAAGATTTTGTTCTCAGAAACAAAGTTTGTTGCTATTATTACCGTGGATTTCCACTGCTCAAACACAAACAAAAACATACTGATTTTTGTACTAGATATACTTCTACTGAAAACCTACTGTTATGGAGTCTAATTGAGTTTACATTTTAACAGGAATCAATGCGTGAATTATTTTATTTTCTATCTGTGAATCACGTGAGCAGCAAAATTAAAGCTCGCGTTAAGAAGTTCTTCTGTGTGCAATGGTATTTTTTTAATGAATATAACATATATTTTATACATTTTGAAGTAATTTCACATTTGCAAGTATATTTTCAGGTATTATAACAACGCTGTATCAGCCGATGAAATTTTCAAAGACATATCTCCGAATTTACAACAAGAAATATTGTCTGTAGAAATGGTAGACACATTGCTATGTTGCACATTGTTTCAAGTATGTTTTATTTAATAATTTTACCTAATTAATTTACAAAACATAAAACAACTATTTATTATTAATAGTGGTATAATACGTACTTTATGAGTTTCCAAAATTTAATATGGTAAAGGAAAACATCGTAATGTAATTTGCACGTATCAGGTAAGAAATTCAAACATACGTGTGAAGTCAACAAACCGATACTAGGCCAACGTGGTTGATTAGTTACCCCTGACTTAGGGTAGGCTTCGACACCACCAGTGGGAACGTATAGTAAGCAGATGATGATTTTGGGAATAACTTGTACAAAAACTGACATTCCTATCGTTATTGTCTTTGTTTTAAGACAGTAAATATTTAAAACTACGTTTATAACAGGAGTATTCCATCTATAAAACATATTCCAGGAATCCAGTCATGATTTCCTACAAACAGTAGCAGCAAACATCAAAACAATTGTACTACCTGATAACGAAATCGTACAACATGCAGGAGATATTGGCAGAGATATGTATATTTTATCTAAAGTTAGTTATGAAGTTTTAATGTTACGATTTTTTATACGCAAATAAGTGTAAATAATATAAAAAGAGAGCGTTGGTGGCTCAGGGGTCAAGCCAAGCACTTCACACTCATTCAAGCATTCTGTAAGTCCTGGCTTCGAATGTCGCCAGGTACCGATGAGTTTTTCGATTTACATATATACATTTATCCGCCGTCCTTACTGTGAAAGAAAACATCGTGATGCAACCTGCACGTATCAGAGAAGAAATTCAAAGATATGTATAAAGTAAACCAACCCGCACTGGGCCAGCGTGGTTGACTATGGCCTAGTCACCCTTGATTTAGGGTAGGCTCCGAGCCCCTAGTTAAGGACGTATAGTGAGCTGATGAGGTAATATAAAATTATTTTAGGGTCATTGCAATGTAATTAATTACAAAGGAGTGACAGTTAACAATGGTGGACCTGGAAGTAAGTTCGGTGTATTCGAAATGCTATATGGACTTCCCAAAGTAAGAACATACCATCATTTACATTTCTATTTTACTAAAATCTCATTAGGATCGGTTTGATTTTGGTGGAAAGTTGATATGATTTAACTGTCATTAGACATACTTGATCAAACATTTGTAGAGTTGATGGTTTTTGCTAAAGAAACTAAATTCTTTATGTCAAAGTTATAACCATACTGGCTGTCAAGGCAGCTGTGTCCATACAGAATTTATAGCCTTTGTGTTCTTCCAGACCATGTTCTTTATCTATGCCAAATTTCAGCGAGATCTATAATTCTATTCTGGAGATATCTTCTAACAAACATCCATCCAAACATTCTCATTTATAATATTAGTAAGATTTTTAATTAAACTTAATTTATACAGGTGTACACTGTAGTTACATCAACCAATTGCATTTTATTGCATCTCGACTACCGCACCTTGGTACAGTGCTGGAGTATATTTCCTGACATCAGTCACATTGTTATGACGGTACAGAGTAATAGATAAACAGAGAAGTCAATTTTATTAACACAATGAATTTACTAGTTAACTTTCTTATTAATTTACAGGTTCTTCATGATCCTGTAATTTGTGAGCAAGCTAAATTATTTGAAAATGCAAAACCACTAACTGGTAAACTCGATGTTAAAACAAACAGAATAGCTGTAAGATATTTTAATTATATTAATGTTAATGTAAAATATAATTTAGATAAAAAAATAACATAAAATAAATTCTCTTTATTTATTTTACAGCAAGAAATTAAAGAGAGTTTCATAGTTATAAATGACCGTGAAGAGAAAACGCATTATTTAAAAGCTTTCGAGCAATTAGGAGTTATGAGGTATATATCTACATCTACACTAATAACATAAATAGGACAGATTTGTATTTCGTATGTTTGTAACTTATAAACTTAAAAAATACTAGATCGATTTAAACAATTTTTTACGTTTCAAATGATACATTATCTCTGAGTAACATAGGATATTTTTTTTAATACATATTACGCTAGGACTAGCTGCCAGTTCTAATATATGTACATGGTTATCGTTATTGCACATTTTTCATTTAACAGTGGTAGAGCCCGCTTTAACATCTTCGCACGAATTAGCCCGGCTCTGCCGGTGAAATACCACGACCACACAGAAGACAGGCGTCAAGTAGAAGCTATTCCGCGTTTCGTCTGATGAGTGTGCGTCCCGGAGGCCTAATTTAGTCCTCTTTCCCTTCCCACCTTTTTTCTTATAAGGAAAGGATGGAAGGTGGAAGTGGACTTTCCGGATAAGAGGATGCATGGAAAGGGAATATATTTTCTTTCTTTGCATCCTCTCCTCCGCCGATTAAAGGTAGGCAACGCATATGCAATTGCGTATGTCTATGGGCAACGGTCACCTCGCTATTTCAGCGATTTCTGGTGGCCGCTAGCTCGTTTTCCACCTTATGAAATAAAAAAAAAATTGCAATTTTACTGTTATTAATTTTTTCAGATTGCTTCGATATATATTTCTACCAATATGTATCACCCCGCATGGTATATTTTTAAAGTTTTGGTGCACTTTACGATTGGTTGTAGCCATCTATTATATTTTAGTCGTTCCTTATAATATTTCAGTAAGTTTTAAATAATATTTAGATTACCTTTAAACAAATATTCGAATCGAATAGTTATACTTTCAAACCCGACATAACTTTTTTGTTTTCCCCGAAGAGATAAGTATACGTTAGGCATTTCCCCGCGATAAAAAAATGCTTTTGTACATTTAAAATTTTTGGCATTTATTTTAAGTTATAATTTTAATATTTTTAGACTAAGCAACATAAATATGGCAACAGTTATATTTGGTCAGATATATTCCTGTACCTCGACATTGTCGTGATGGCGTACGTCGCGTACTATGATGAAAGATACTTATTAGTAACACATCCTTTGCTGACTGTAACACGATATTTGAAGCATGCATTTGTCTTGGACATTATAAGTGTCTTTCCCTTCGAACAATTGGTAAGATAACCACTAAAAACCTCGTTCAAATTAATAACATCATAAATATGATCAGATACACATCCCAACTTCCCTGAATTAAGGTTGACTTGACTATAGTCAACCAAGTTGGCCCAGTGCGGGTTTCTTGACTTCACACATATCTTTGAATCTCTTCTCAGTTGCATCACGATGTTTTCCTTCACCGTAAGAACGTCGGATAAATGTACATATGTATATCGAATATCGAAAACACATTCGTACATGGTGGGATTCGAACCCAGGACCTGCATGCAAATCAAGTGCTTAACCCCTGAGCCACCGGCGCTTAACGCTTAAAATTGATTTTAAATCCTTCTCTATTTTACAGTCGAATATTATAAATGAACATTCTGATACAGACTTGTATAGATTGAATCGCATATTACTGGTAAGTGAAATCCTGCCACAGGCATCATTTAACCTATTGGCGCTATGTCGCCTCGCCTATTCGTTCTCCTAACATATTTGGATCAGAAACCAGAGGTGAGGAGTGTTTTTATAAGAGAAGGGGTCAAACGAATCGCCAACGCCAGAGGAACCGCAAATGCGTTGCCGATATTAAAGCAATAGCGTACACCTTATGCTATTGTTGTTGTATTGACTTCTTTAACTTTAAAAACATAAAATCCTTAATCTATGATTATTGCTTAGTGTATATTTCTCACTTTATACATGAGATATCTGTTTTTTATTTTCTCTTAGGTGACCCGAGTATTAGGGGCATTTTCGTATTGGGAGAATGATATAATGAGAATTAATCAAGCAGTTGTATTATTCAAATTCTTGCCTCTTGTTGCGACTGTGGTCAACTCGGCTACTGCGTTCATATTCACCAGTTCCTGTCAGCCATTCCTTCCTCCAGATTCTTATTATGTCTTAGTGAATTGTTCGCGAACATTCGTTATATCTGGCAATACATATGAGATTAAATGTAAGTTTAAATATCTAACTTCAGCGATATACAATTAATTATTAATATTTTTATTACTTTGATTTTTCTATAATTTTTTTTTACAGATGCAATAACGGAATACGTTCATACCTTTTATTGGGTGTTTGAATTATTTGTTGGTAAATAAATTATACTTTCTGTATTCACAAAATAATATCATTTAATATAATATTAGTTGTAATTTCTTTGTGTATAAACGTATTAATTATACAATCTCTAAAATAGGTTGCGGATGCACACCAATTGTGCTATCGAATAAAGCGGACGTTTGGTTAAGTATGGCTCTTCAAATAACAGGAGCTCTTTATTTCGCTTTTATGTTTGGATATATAGCATCCACACAGTCAACTGCATCCCACGCATTATTAGAACATACTGTAAGTATTGTTAGGAAGAAAATCCTACACTGTGCCGGTGTACTGGCACAACACTAGCCTTACTAAAATGTCGACGTTTATGTCTCCTCACTAATCTTTCTTATACTTGATGATTCATTACGAAAGCGCGCCATTCGCGCTAAAGGATTCTAACTAATAATGTCTAAAAATACTTACAATTCCCAATATTGTGTATCTTATATATAAAATTCTTGTGTCATAAATTTCGTTCCCATACTCCTCCGTAACGGCTTGACCGATTCTCATGAAATTTTGTGAGCATATTCAGTAGGTCTGCGAATCGTCCAACATCTATATTTAATCCCGCGCAGACGGAGTCGCGGGCGACAGTTAGTATTACAAAAAAATGTAGTTATAATTTTTTTTGATACCGTGTTGTATTATGTTAGTGCATCTAGTATTTTTACAACGACTTAAATCATTGCATTTTCCATATTAACCCTTATTGTGGCAAGATATCTTTTTTGAAGAAAAGCAAAAAACAAAGTTAAAAATTATTTTATAGTGATCGTATATTTTTATAAAGTTATATGTATGGTATACTATACAAAATAAACATAAAGATTAAATTAAAGTTATTGTGTTATAAATCTTTTTAGGAACAGACAAGCGACTTGGCTGATTTTTTATACCAGCAAAATGTAGATCCGACGATCACTATGAAAACACTGAAATACTTCGAATATGTTTGGAAAAGAACCAATGGCAGTAACGCACAGGTAAATCTCATATTGAGTACTGGGTTGCCAATGATTTTCGTGCGTATGTATAATTTTTTTCTTGAGGTATCCAGCGTAAGTAGTTTGACGATTTTTTAGAGTTGTTTGCAATAACAAAACATACTAATATCACAGGTTTTTCATTCAAAATAAGATGCAAAACAATGTTTTAGTATTTTTGTTTCGGCAATGTAAATTCATTATAAAAATATTCGTAGTTACCCCCCACATATCATAAATATAATGCTGATAGGAATAATAACAATTACGTGAACCCCACAGCAAATATGTCGAGGACTTAACTCTGCATTAATGGAAGATACTTTAGTTTTTATGTATGAGAGAGCATTAAGAGAGGTGCCGCTGTTCGGTAGAGTCGAACGATCGTTCATCAGAGTCATCACGCAACATTTACACGAAATGTACTTTCTTAAAGGAGACACCGTTATACAATGCAAAGATGTACAGAACGATATATTTATTATCTATAGAGGAAAGGTATTTAAATGGCTAGATTATTAACATAAGTAACTAGCTGCAGCCCGCAGCCCCGTCCGCACGGGATTAAAACAACCTTAGTAGTCTATATGTTCTTCCAGGCTATGTTCTACATCTACGCCAAATTTCATCAAACTTCCATCCATCCATTCAAACTTTCGCGTTTATAATACTATTATAATCAGTATAATGTTAGATACTATTATATTTTTTAATTCTTGATAATCCATCGCTTATAATAGCAACCAACAAAGGTTTATGTTTGTGTATTACGATTTTCAGGTCGACGTGTTAAGTACATACAACGAAATGATAACATGTATGGGACCTGGTGGCATGTTTGGGAATTTCACCGGGGTAAATATAAACATGTATTTCGCAATATAACTCAATTCGTATAAGGTTGACGTATAGGTAGGACGAGAATAATTAACTCTTACAGCGAGCAATGATTCATCAATATGTTCGCTAGTCTATTTGACAGAGAAATATTTTTAGTATACTGTAAAAGAAAGCTACTACATCATTCAAGTAATGTCTTGCGTTGTAAAAGATGCATATATATAGAACCTTATGTAATACCTATATAATTTTAATCAACAATAAAGATATCATCATCATTAGCTTACTATACTGGGAGGCTACGAGTCTACCCTAAGTTAGGGGTCTCTAGACCATAGTGAACCTTGCAGGTCCAATGCGGGTTGGTTGACTTGACATCTTTAAATTTCTTCGCAGATATGTGCAGGTTGGACGATGTTTTCCTTAACCGTAAGAACGTCTGATAAATGTAAATATGTGAATCGAAAAACATATTGGTATATGGCGTAATTCGAACCCAGAACCTGCTAATTACAAGTCAAGTGTTTTAATCCCTGAGCCACCGAGGCTTTCAATTAATGTATAGTTAAGAAAGATATGTAAATAATATATTACAGCAATCAACATCATGTTCTGAAGTAGCTATTTACGCGAGTAGAAGCTTAGACTTGTTGGTTTTACCAAGTCAAACATTCTTTAATTTGGTCAAATATTATCCTAAAATACAAGAACCATTGCGCAAAGCATTTGAAGTGTCAAAAGATTACATACTACCAATATCGATGGACGTAGATAGCGATGATGAATCTACAGGTATTTAAACAAAACTTATACTTTTGTAGATATTTCATAAATTAATATATGAAAAAAAATGAAGTCGACTAAAAAACTAATAAACAAGTTTTACTAATAGTTATCTTCAGATAAAGTTGCTCTTCGAAGTTAGTAGTGTTTTTAATGTTAATTTATTTTATAGAAGATTCCGACTTTGATCTGCAATCTCAAGATTCAGCTATCGATTCTAGAAGTGGGTCAAGCCGATTTGAAGTGCCAGGTAAAGTTCCTTTATAGTTATATAACTTTAATCCAAACTAGAATCACAAAAACGGATATGAGCATTCCCGTACATTAAAACAAATGTATGTAAAATTTAAGTTTGTAAGATATTTGTGACATTTTTATTTTAGGGATATAAAAAGGAAAATAGTATTAAATATATATTTTCCCCAGTAGGACAAATATCATTGCGAAGTTCTCATTCAAACATCAGTCAGTCTAAATCAGCAGCTAGTGTTATAAGCTATCAGAGTTATATGCGTCTGTCGAATCTGTTCAGACCTGGGACATTACTGTTTCAAGTAAGTAAACTTTATCACTTCGGTAACCACAAGAATTTTTTTTATTTATAATATTAGGTGGCATAGGGGCAAGCGGCCTCCTAGATTCGTCCAAAATAGCGAAGCGACCGCTCCCAGACATCCGCAATTACAACTACAAAGCAAGCAACTGCTTCGTCGAGGTTGAACTGAACGAGTTTATTTACCTTTGTCCAATCTACTTCTTCTTCCCATCCTTTTCTTATAACAAATGATGTGAAGGAAAAAGACTAAAATTAGTCCTGCAGCACGCACATTCACCATATGTAAGGCGGAATTGCTTCCAATTCACGCCTGTCTTAGGTATGATCGTCGTATTGCTCCGGCCTACTTCATGCCATACATGTTATTGTGCTGGTGTCGGTCGACTCCCACGTCATTGTATTCAATATTAATAACATACAATTTTATTACTTGTACAATGATCAATGCTTTTTAATTACCATAATATTGTTTTAGGCATTCGGATATCTGACATGTATTATGGCTACCGCTAACTATGTACTCATACTGTACGAGCTTGTCACGCTTAATGATTGTTACATCATATTCTGGGTTCAATCAGCATTCGATATATATTTTTACTTGAAGATCTACACGTATATGCATCAGGTATTATGTATTATATTTTTAAACGTCTTAATTAATGCCTTCTCAGTACGTTAATACAGTGAAGGAATTAAATATAATAAATAATTTTAGTTGATAGTTTTAGACAGTATAAGTTAGAATCATTTAGCGTGAATGACGTGCTCTCGTTACAAAGTCCAGTGTAAGAGTGAATAATTAGGGGACACAAACGTCGACACCCTAGTTAGGTTAGTATTGCGTCAATTAACCAGCACATTTTCGGAACTCCTTCCTAACAATAGGAATGAAAACTAATAAACCATGTTTTGAATACTATTATTACGTAAACGGGAAGCTAAAATTTGACCTTAAAAATACGTGTGCGTGTTTTGCCCTCCTATGATTATAAAAGAAATAAAAATATTATTAATTTTGTATTTGGAATGTGAAGTATGAGAGGAAAATTTTAACCTACATATAAATAATAATCTTATCACTGTCAGGGGTATCTTAATAAACATGGAGAGTTAATATTGAGTCACTCTAAATGCCGGCGTAGATATTTCAAACACAAACTCTGGGTATGGACCGATGTTATTGCCAATTTCCCTCTAGAGCTCTTCGGATTTTGTTTTTCGTAAGTAAACAAATGCATTTTTATTGTTTCCATTTTTTATTTAATTTTATGCTAATCTAATTGTTTACATTCTTTATAGAGATCCGTTGAAAGCAATGCACTACTTGCGTGGTACCAAATTGTTAAGATTGAAACATATATACGACTTTTATTGCAAGACTGCCGCTGAATTAACAAATAATCTAACAACTTTACAAGTAATTGGATTACATTTTTATAATTTGTAGTTCAAGCTGTAACATTGGCTTCTCATCAGCGCTCTCTATCTATTTTATAACATGTATCCTAATTTTTACCAACCCACACTGGACCAGCGTGGTTGACTGTCGCCTAGTCACCCGTAACTTAGGGTAGGCTCCGAGCGCCTCAGTGGGGAATTATAGTGAGCCGATGATGATGATCTTAAAATATACTTTTTCAGTCGATGACCACAGTTTTCTTGGTGGTACTGTTTATACATACATTTACTTGTATCTGGCTGGTTACACTGATCGCGACATCGCCTTATCAATTTATTAGGACTTTAAAAATGCATCTTATCGACGAGTGAGTAAAGTTATTTAATATTTTATGGTGAATGTTATACATTTTACAAAAATACATTTCCGTAGTAGTTAATGAAATTCGCAATATTTATATCTTACTACTATCATAAATGCGTATGTTTGGATGGATGGATGGATGTTTGTTAGAAATTATCTTCAGAACTGTTGCATGGTTCTCGCTGAAATTTGGCATAGGTATAGAATATAGCCTGGAAGAACACACGGGCTACCAATTAGGTTTTCTTTTCATTCTGCGAGGATGAAGACGCGGACGACAGCTAGTATTGGTATATTTCAAATTAGTACTAAAATAGAAATTAAATATTTATCTTTTTTAGAGACACACCACAACAGCGATGGGATTACACCACATCTTTATATTTAGTGATATCTGAATTAACTGGAACCGGTGGCGATGAGATTCACATTGGCGATATATTTCCAATGGCGATATTAGTAATTTGTCTTATTTGTGGCAAAATGTTAGCGGCTATTGTTGTCGCCACTTCTATACAAATCGCCTATTCCACTAAATATGCATTGAATAGTTACGAAATGAAAACAGAAGAGTTAATTGATCTACTGAGGAACCAAGGGTTATCGGGTAAATAAAATTCTATAATACGTTTTTTTTATTCACGTAATTTACACATGTAAATAATAATAATATCATAATTTTTATAAACACAAGAGCTGATAAAAGAATAATTTAATATTTTATATTTCAGATTATCAATTAAAAAAGTTTTGGAAATACGTTCGACAGCTATGGGTCAACGAACGAGGTCGTCAGGTAAACTTTGCTAACAGTTCAGTCAAAACTAACTTTATTAACTTGCAATATTTCTGAATATCTAAATATAATATCCGGAATAGTTACCAGATTTAATGATGAAAACACCGTACGTGTTGCGCTGCGACCTCATGACCGCTATGTTTGGTCACCATTTGAGGAACTGTTATCTTTTTGCTGAAACCGGAGAGCCATTTCTACGTCAATTGACCGCTGCATTGAATTACACGGTTTTCTTTCCCGGTAAGATCCTCCGTTGCATAAATGTTATTCTAATTTAGAGTTTCTACTGTCTTTATATTTTATTATAAATATAAAGATTTTTGTAAAATGGAATCTTCAAAACAGCACAACGGAATTCGCTTACATTTGGCATTTACAACATTGTCTGGAAGAACGTCTAGGCTACAAAGTTTCTTTTTTTAATTCCGCGCGGACAGAGCCGCGGGTAAAATCTAGTTGTCTATAAGAAAACAAAGATAAGCAAGTTGTGCGGACATGATCAAACCTTCTATTAGTTTGAGTCTTTTATCCCTTATAGATAATTTTTTGCACAATTACTTCCAGAATATAATAATGTCTATCTTTGATAAAGGTAACTACATAGTGGTGGCAGGAGACAGCGAGGCATGTATGTTTTGGGTAGCGTCAGGCGCAGTGTCTGTGGTCTCGGTGCGCGCAGATCTCACGGAGACTACACACGAGACACTCAGCGCTGGCGACGCGTTCGGTATGCTGCAGGGACTGAATCGAGGCGTATCTCATTACTTCTCATATAGAGCTGATACTAAGGTATAATTTATTAAATCTTAAACCATATTACCATATGCAAACGTCTATAATATTTTATGTAACCTAATCCACAGCACTTTGCAGTGTTACCCCACTTTGAACCATCGAACCTTAGAGTAAAGAAGTTTGATACATCAAAAGATTCTTAGAGCTTCAAAAGAAAAGCCTATAGCATTTCCTCGTATCTGTTGACTAGCTACAATACTTTTAATGTTGGTATATTGTTACAGGTGGGTATTTTAACTTTAAGTCTAGATTCTTGGATTAACATTCTACCTTACTTTCCTACTGCTCAGAAAATTATTTCGGAAAGATCAGAAGTCTTATTTGCCCAGATTTAAAGATATATTTTTTTATGTTTAAACATATGTACTATTTAGTTTGAGTAAATAAAAATATGTAATAACTGCATATTATACTTTTACTGTAAAATATTGTTAAGGTTGCGGAATTACGGGTACTTGGTCTAGTGCGGGTTGGTTTACTTCACAGATATTCTATTTGAATCTTTGAATTTCTTCCTTCACCGTAAGAACGCTACTGACGTTCTCAACAATCGATTTCGAAAAACGATATAAAAAATATAAAATAGTCATTTAAGCTTGGTATTATATAACAATACCGAAAAAAATTGCTTTTGGAAAAACATTTATTAACAGAAACACATAAATAATTACAATAAAATATACACAAAGTAAAGAGCTATATTGATTTAAAAATATCCATGGAATTTACACGAAATCTGTCACCATCGGCGTCATGCTAATTTAAAAAAAAAAGAGTAAAATTAAACAAAAAAAAACACAAAGTAATCAATCACAAAACGGTGTTATGGTGTTCGTTCTATCTTCCTTTATATTTAGAGCTCGCTAAAGCCTGTAAAGTGAAGAATTGCTTTAATGCACTGAATATCTTCGCGTAGTACTTAGCGGAGCTTACAGATGTGTCTGATTTAATTTTTCTGCACTTTACTTTTCTGCCGCCTGAAATGGGCAATTTAAAATTGCATAAAATAAAAAAAATTAAATAAAAAAAATATAAACACGTATACATGTCGGTCATGCGAGAGATCGATATTTACATGTTCTTACCATCTCGTATCTCATCTCTTCGTTGATCCGCTCGTACAAGTCCGCTGGGATATCGTTTTCTGTTACATCTTGGAGGACATAGTTCAGTTGTGATGTTCTAGAAAAAGCAAAAGTTCATTCTTAAAAAATTTAAAAAAACACCTGCAAGCAAAACCTTTCGAAAAAAATCAAAATCGGAGCATCAGGGGCGGAGTTACGCGGTAACATAAAAAAAGAGAACATGCAGATTAATAACCTCCTTCTTTTTGTAATCGGCTAAAAAAATCAATTCTAAAACACATTACTATCGCTGTGGACCAACAAATTTATATTAAAATTAAAGTCGTAAAGGACTCCAGAACACTCATACTAATTTTAACGATGACGATGCGATGGCGATCGTCACAAATATTCATAATAGGCTCACTATTTTTTTCATAGACAATGAATGAATGGGATGACGATATGAATTACGCTTGCACACGCAACTAGTACTTATAAAAAATAATAAGACCAACTGATTATTACTGTACTTACTGTATATAGATAAGCATGTATGCACTCGTAGCACGTCTCGCTAAATAAGGCGCATCCTCTTTGCCTCCAAAGTTGTACTCTATCGCTTCTTTTTTTCTGCACCGCGACACGACGTCGTCGTCGAACTTACACCACTGAAATACGAGTATTAATTGATATAAAGCATGTATCTAAAAACTTAAAAACGATTTAATAATGTAAAAAGTAGAACTAATATTTAAACCCGCCTTATTCAGGAGGCTAATGTTTTGCGCGCATGTTTTAGTTGTGCTTACGTCAATTTTACTATCACATCCTGTAGGTTTAACGACTAAATTGATTTTAATACGTTAAGTGATATTCGGTTCGTATTATTTCCATAAGTGTCATAGAGGAGTCGAGGTTTTTGTACTCTACTCTTCTTTCGGTCGGTTAATAACGACGTACCTTTCCATCCCCTTTTGGATTGATGAAGACCACATAATGACCTCCATGATTATCACCAGAATGCACCAACACAGCATGTAATGTGTAATGTGCAGGCACTTGGGGAATCTCCTGAAGGTACGGATCCAAATTTATCTCTTCGTAAAATTCAAACCTGCACAAATAATAAATAGATTTGAATGTACTCGTTCATTGTTGCTACTGGTACTCCATAAAATCTTTTACAAGTTTTATAAAAAACAAAAATGGGACACGGAAATAGACAGTGTAGTCCTGCTGACTTTAAATGTTCTTATTATGATGAATACTTTTTCGATTCCCATTTAGGTCGTTGACTTAGTCAAACAATTTTTTTCGATCCAGCTATGGCCACAGTCTTCAAATTACCCATATAAATATACCTGTCATTGAATTTTACGGAAGCATCGCTCTGCGGGTCGTACTGGAATCTCATGAGGTGTAAATGCAATACTGGTGGAAACTCGTCAAAACGCACTCCCTTCTCCGCCTCTTGCAGGCCGTGCTCGCCCGCATCGTATTTGTTCTCACCATCCAATGTTTCCGTACTGATATAGTCTTTGAAGGATTCGTATACTAGAAAAGATATAGCACAAATGTATCAAGCAATTGATTTATAGCGTTAGTTATCGTACAGCCAAATGATGTAATTATTTTTTAAAGAAGTATCATAGCTCTGTATTATAAATATGACAGAATTCATAGCAATCAGTGTAACGTAAAACTATTTTCTTTTAATTCTTGAATACATACTAACAATTATTTTTGCCCTTCACACTTAGTTGAATGTCATAAAACGTCTCCACTCGAGTGCTACTGCAATTAACGTTTTTGCACTTAATGAATGACGTCATTTTACCCTCGAACAGCTTTGGAACCGTGCCTTCTACTAAAGTACCTTTCATTTTATTCTCTAACTTATCTAATAATACCTGCAAATAATGAATATTTAGTTTGTCACAGAATGATTTGAAAAATGTTATTAAAATAAACTGCTTATTAGGTTAGTATGTAAGAGACAATTTTTTTTTATATCATAAGGTGGCAAACGATCGAGCGGCCACCTGAAATCGCTGAAATAGCGAAGTGACCGTTGCCCATAGACATACGCAATTGCATATGCGTTGCCTACCTTTAATCGAAGGAGGAGAGTATGCACAGAAAGAAAATATTTTCCCCTCCCTTGCATCCTCTCATCGGGAAAGTCCACTTCCACTTCCCATCCTTTCCTTATAAGAAAAAGGGTGAGAAGGGAAAGAGGACTAAATTAGGCCTCCGGGACGCACACTCATCAGACGAAACGCGGAATTGCTTCCACTTCACGTCTGTCTTCTGTGTGTTCGGTGGTGGTATTTCACAGAGCGAGCCGGGCCAATTCGTGCGAAGATGTTAAAGCGGGCTATACCACTGTTATATAGACAAGTAGATTAATTTGTTTTCTTTTAATTAACTATTCTAGATCCTAGTAATATCAAAGTAATTTAGTTCATAAACTTACTCGAAGAAATTCTTGAACGTCATGTTGCATAAAAGAATCTAGTGTCTCCCAACCAAAGCTCTTTGTCAGCTTCTTAGTTGCAACTGGCTTCTCAGAAAATTGTAGGTCAAAGAAAACGCGTTGTAGCGCAAAGGCAACAGAACGGGAACTATCGTCTCCGACGGTCGGTATTTTATAAACTGCCTTGCGTAACACATTAGTAAAGAAAAGAGTTTGCAATAACGAGTTCATGTAGCAAGTCGCTCCTTGGTTCTTAAGACCTGGAATGCACTTGGTTAAATTATGTTTACGTATTGTTCTAAAACATTTAAATAATATCAAAATTCTTTGAGTATAACTAGAGAAAGATTTTATCTTCATACCAACATATCCGGTGTGTTTTTTAGAATCCCAAGCCACGCCGTGCGGTGCCTCCGCAACCACGTGTGCCTCTATTGTTATAGCATCGTCTTTTACGAAACCATTTTCGATATCCAAAAGATCTTTCCACGATATAAAGTGTGTAAATCCCCAATCATCTTCCTTGCTACAATTTGAAAATGAAATTTATCAAATATTGTGTTACTAGCTGTCGCCCGCAATTCCTTCCGCGCGGAATTTAAAAAAAAAACATTAATGGCCTATGTGATCTTCCAGACTATATTCTATATGTATGCCAAATGTCATCGAGATCAGCTGTTCTGGAGATACATTCAAACAAACAGCCATCTAAACATTCGCATTTATAATATTAGTAAGAAGTGAGATTTTCTAGAGGTAGTGGGTCCATAAAATTCGTATATCCTTGCCAAACTCACTAAGATATCTTATCCTACGTCTACACTATGGCTTTAGTCTAATTGAAGCCATTATAAGTAAACAATAGTTACGTTACCTGTGATACATATGGTGAACTTTTCTACACAGATGTTGGCCATCTGGCTTGTACGATAAGAGTTTGATTTCACCCAATCCATAGCACGACCAGCCAGGAGAATCACAGTCGCCATTACACTGCAGAAAGATACCAAGACCCTTTTGTTGCTGACGATCAGGGGTGGTAGTGTTACGTACAAGAACTAGAATCTTCCACGGCAGACATCGGATATAACATGGCGGCGATAGGACCTGTTCCTTCAGTTGACTGACATTCTGGACAGTGAAACGGAACGTAGCTTCGGGTCGGGCGATGTCATCCTCGTCATTTATTACGTCCTGGAATTAAATTATAATCATTGCTTTATTTTAGTCCTCTTTAGAATTTGACTGAGAAGAGGCGCATGAGTTAGGGAAATGTCCCTTTTCTGTGCGTCCCGTCCTCCGTCGATTAAAGGTTGGCAACGTATTTACAATTGCGGATGTCTATGGGCAGCGGTTCGCTTAGCTATTTCGGCGAATTAAGGCAGCATGCTCGTTTTGCACCTTATAATTTTAAAAAATATATTATAAAAAGCAATTGGAACTACATGCGACAGTTATCGAAGGAAAGCTTGGAATTAGTGCATCAGGACCCCTCGAAAAGTACATCGGAATTATATAATATATAAACGCGGTACCATGACAAAATTTCTATTAAAATACATACGAGTAGATACTTTACACACTGAGGCATATTTCACATCCGACAAATGTTGATAATAATCCAAATATGTAGAGCCGTAGAGTACGTAACCCTCCTATATTTGTAATATTTTTACCTTTAATGTGGTATACTTTGATGTCTCCATAATGCTATATATAATGTAATAAAGGTTCTTACCGTGGTCAAAGGAATTAAATCTGTCGTCGTATTCTCAGCAGTACTTGTTTCAATCATTTTAAAGTCTCAAATTCTGACAAATTTGACAATAAATCATTTAGAAACCAATTCCACTTATTCGTCCAGTCTTAACGTTACAGTTATATTATTGCGTCGATAATTTTAAACTTTAATAGCAATTAATATTATAAATATTTAACTATGATTAAATGATTTGTTTGTATGTAAAGGTCATAATGGTTATCAAATAAAAAACACAAATTTTGTAGAGTTCAGGCCGATGACATGTGTCATTTTCAGTATTTTAAGACGTAACAACTTTTCGAAATTTAAAAAGAAATTATTAGGTTTTAGTAGCTTGAATAATAAAAACGAGGCGCAATAAAAACTCTTTTGATTGTTCCTCTATTTGTGATTTGTTGAAATTATGTGTTTATTCTTTTAATTAACATTTTTATTATAATCATATCTACATTGTCTCTTAACGGTAAGCGAAATCGTGGTCGAGCGTGATATTATTAGTGATAAAAAAGCTTCTTTCATTAATTTGCAATCCAATATCACAAAACCTTACTTTAATCGTCGCAGAATGATATTATTTAAATATACTTAATATAGTTTTAAAATTAATTACGACAGCACTAATCCTCCGACAACATTGTGTCAAATTAAATGGACCAGCCGACGGCCGCGCTTAATTAAATTTTGTAACGGGCCTTGTAATTAAAATGTCGTCGGGGAATATCAATCCATCGTAAGGCCCTTCTTACATAAGGCAACGTAAATCTTTGAAACTGTGATTTTGATCGCTAAGTAAACTTACACGATACAATGATAGAGAACCATTTGTCGCCGACATTTTGTCCTATCATTAACAGGAATGTTGTTACAGACTGATTAACTGTACTGACCGAATAGGCGACGCACGTTGACAATTCAATGTTCGTTGTACGGATCGCGCGCTACGCGTTACTGACTACTAAAGGCTGGAACAAAAGTATTTGAATTTTGGGTAGCCTTGTGTACGATGGGTCTAAGATTGTAAGAAGACGATAACATTTAATCATACTCCAGTTTTTGAAGTGAAGTAACAAAAGAAAGTGTCATATACCTTCATAAAAAAGAAAAGACAGTCTTTCAGCAAAATAATTACGTTCTATATTACAAAGTATTTAATTTTTTCATTATTTTATATACAGTGCGACATCTATTCGGCCTAGGAAGAAAATTAAGGTGCTCAAAATATGAACATAACATTTCTTGAGTATAACTTAGGCCAATCAGATCAGATAAATTTGTCGCACTATTCTCTCTCTCTGTCTAGCTCGTATCTTACAAGGTGATAGGGTTGGTCCTAGTCTCTTCCACTTCGCTCTGTCCACGACATCTTCGTCTGAAACTTGGCACTCATCATGTTACACACACTAAATTTTTTCATAAATAGGATATTGTCAATAAAGAATTTTTATAGATAAAAATGTGAGTACTCACCTATAATACTGTTTCTTTTAATATTATTAGGGTAAACGATGGTCTAGGTCGATGGGGCCGCAAAGTCCTAGAGTGGCGGCCACGGACAGGTCGACGCAGCGTGGACAGGCCTCCCGCAAGATAGACCGATGACCTGGTCAAGGTTGCGGGACCGTCCTGGATGCAGGTGGCACAAGACCGGTCATCGTGGCGATCTTTGGAGGAGGCCTATGCCCAGCAGTGGGCGTCTCATGGCTGACAGGAAGGAAGGAAGGAAACGAAACATGATTATGTTCAGCTTAAGTGATAGACACATTTACGGCGTATCGTATCGTATGCTAGCAAAATAATAAGACCATGTAAATAGTTACAGTTAATATACAGCATATTGTCAGCTAATATAATCAAAGTTGATGAAATGTCTTCATGATTAAAGAAGCAAGCTCGGCTAATTAGAAGTTTTTGCCTCGCGGCGAGGATTATGGCCGGCGAGACTGGCGGTAATTGCTCGTCTGCTCGTCGGTCGTCTCCCTGCCCTTAATCAGTTTTAGCTTCGTCGCCGGCAACTTTTCCTAAATTAACAATACTTATATAGATATTTATACATCTTTATTCTATTATTTTACTGAACTGACAATAGTCAAAGGCTTATTAAAAAATTGTCTCTTACATAAATTTAAGTAATTTTATATATAGAATAAAGAACTTTATGCTTATCTTTTCGGGGAACGCTAACAAAATGTGGCCAGGTATAGTGTTCGGCGTACAAAAGATAGGAATTTTTTCTTTAATGTGACTTACTTATGCCCAATGCGGGGATCTCAGTGCGTTCTTATATCTTCACGTGGTGGTTTTTATGCATGATGCTATTATACGTGCAGTTACCATAACTAATACTAAATGGCACACTCAGTCATTAATTGCTCGATAAGTTGGTCCCTTAGTGCAGATTTCTCGTACAACATTAATGGATGGAATCTGAGTGCTACTGACGCATACAGAAAGGCGAGTGTTGTTTGTAATTGCTTTGAACCTTCTCATCGATGAAATATCTTCGTTAATTAACGTAAAGCTTGGCTATTAATTAGGTTTTTTGCGTGTCGGAGGGGATTATAGTCTCAGTCCGTCGCAGTCTGTCGTAGTCTGTCGGTAATTGCTCCTCCATCAGGCCGGGCTTAATCAGTTTAATCCAATCTCGTAAATTCATTGGATCTACGGTTATATCTCTTAAACGCTTTTTTGTATTGATTGAAGTAGGTAACTTATTAATTGTATGTATAGTAACTATTATATTTGTTTAGAATTAAACTAAGTACATTAGTGTTAAAAAAATCTCACTTTCACTTTTTTATTTACTTATCAGTAGGATATTACTAGAAGTAAGATTTTTTTATGACAAGAAGTGTTACATTATTAATAGCAGCATCACAATAAAGAAAGAAAGAAGTTTATACGCCTTTTGCTTAAACTGCATTTTATGACTATTGTATTCCCACATTGACCAGCGTGATGTTAAATTCAACCAAAGTTAGAGTAAACAATATATGTTTTTAAATCTTAATAGAATCGACTTTAGAAAATGTTTAATTTTACACTCACAGTCGTAAAATTAATTAAACTTAATTAATATAGAGATATAAAGTATCAATTAATTTAAAGTTCGTTCTAATAATATTCATAAAAATATACTTTTAAATACCTAATTGAAATTTTACAAACTTCTCATTCGTTATTAAAAAGTTTTATTTAAAGCTAACTAACAAACTAATTAAATCAAAAATAATTACCATAACTTGAGACTTGAACACACCGTTAATTAATCCAAAAACATTGCTCCTAATTAGAGAAGTTACAATACGGATTGTACGATACTGATAATTGAAAAGTTCTTGTTAAAACTTTAACCGCGTAATATTCCACGAAGATAGTAAATATTAATACAAAATATAATACTAAATTATTTAAAATACAGGATGTGTAAAAATTTTTTCCTTACAATAATACAATTAAATAACTAAACTTATCTTTTAAACGATATATTATCAACCTGTCACTCCTACGGAGGGTGGGTACGGTATGTATTACCCCTCCAAACATCTCTATCAGCCGTCATTTCTTAATTCACTCCCTTCTTACGCATATTCCGTGTCATATAATCCATCCATATTTTCTTTTATTCTAGATACAATTTAATAATTTACTTAATTAAGTGATTAAAGTAGTCATAAATTAACTTAGTTTAATGTAGGTATAATTTATTCTATACTTTCTTATTTCATTGCAAATGCCTCGTATGAAAACAGGTATATTGTTTAACTTATCGACCGATACGAAAATGTTTGTGTAACATGTCGTTAAATGTAAATTTTAGTTCGCTATATAACATGCTCTTAACGACATAGTCATTATATTTCAAACAACAATAAGTTAATCAACAACAATACGAACAGAAATCGCTTGCATTATTTTAATTAACTGAAGGCACATCGTTAGTTTTAATCCGATTTGCATTCGAACATCCTTCCGGATAATACGAATATCAGCTGCGGTATAACAGTTATATGTTCTGATAAAGGGAAAAGGCGTACTCCAGTATCTTGTGCCGGTTCTTATTGCACACATCAGTACCTAACCAAATATTACGCGACAAATAAACGAAGGCAAAATCACGTACCGTGGACACCTATCTTAAGGTACAATATTAGTGTTAATCATTATAAATGAACAAAAAAAAATCAAATGTAATATGAACGTTCATAATGTCACAAAATATTTTTCCATTTCTTTGTAACTTGCAGAATGTTTTCACATAAAATATTTATGTGCGATTGTAAAATTTTTAGTGTTACAAGTTTCACAAGGAAATCAAACATGCCGTGAATTGTTGTAAGAATGTATTACCAGCATTGTATAATTTTAGTCTTAGTTTATGTGATGGGTAAAGTGGTGCATAACTTTACGTTGACTTCACCTACCATACGACAATACGTGATACCGAAAACAACGAAATTATTGAAAAGACGTAATATGGAATCAGTTATGTTCAAATCAGCTCCACAAATTGAACTACCGGCTATAGATAGAAGAAAAATCTGTTAGTTGTATTTTTTAATCTTACTAATATTATAAATGCAAATGTTTGGATATATAGATGGATGGATGGATGTTTGATAGACGATATCGCCAGAACGCCTCAACAGATGTCGATGAAATGTGGAATGTAGAAGGACTGGAAGAACACATAGAGTACTGAATAAATTTTTTCTAATTCCGCGCGAACGGAATCGCGGGCTACAGCTAGTCATTAATATATTTATCAATTTGTGTTGTTTAATCGTAATATTTTTTCTTTTTCAATATAATTAATTAAAAGCACCAGAAGATATTTGGAACTGGGACTATTGGTGTAAGTTGCAACCGAAATTAGGAAATTGTTCCGATTTTGTTACAAGGTGAATATTGGTATATTTTTTTTAATTTAGAAATTTTGAATCTAAAATAACCTAGTCTTATAAGAATGGACGCTATGTTACGAACTGTTTCTTATACCAGTTACTTATAACGAAATAACTTTAAATAACTGATGTTGCAACTTTTAACAGTGGTAGAGCCCACTTTAATATCTTCGCACGAATTGGCCCGGCTCGCCCGGTGAAATACCATGACCACACAGAAGACAGGCATCAAGTGGAAGCAATTCCGCGTTCCGTCTGATGAGTGTGCGTCCCGGAGGCCTTATTTAGTCCTCTTTCCCTTGCCACCCTTTTTCTTATAAGGAAAGGATGGGAAGTGGAAGTGGAAGAACTTTCCGGATGAAAGGATGCATGGGAAGGAAAAATATTTTCTCTCTGTGCATTCTCTCCTCCGGCGATTAAAGGTAGGCAACGCATATGCAATTGCGTATGTCTATGGACGACGGTCACTTCGCTATTTCAGCGATTTCAGGTGGCCGCTCGCTCGTTTGACACCTTATGCTATAAAAAAAAACTATGGTAATAATATTATATTTTTTAGGTATTATTATGACACGCAAATAGACCAGTGTGTTAATTTCACGTACAGCGGATGTGACGCCAACAAAAATAACTTTGAATCTGCAGAAAAATGTGAACAATATTGTCACGGTGTGTTAATAAAGTCTCATTCATTTATTATATTAAAAACTTATTTACAACTTCTGCTCTAAAAACTATTTTAATAAAATGGTATTCCTTTTTACAGGTACTACTTATTTGTCACTAAGGGAAGAAACCTCAAATTATTGCGCTTTGCAACAGGACGCCGGGATTTGTCTGGCTCTAGTTAGAAGGTAAGTCACAACAAAATATTCCTTGATAATTCTGAAACTGTATACAGCGCCATCTGTTACAAAAATATAGTTTTAAACATATGAAAACTAGAATAAGTTCATACTTTATAAGCATGAAAGTAACGGCTCGTTAGCTTAGCGGTTAGAGCATCCATCTAAGAATGGTAGTCGGGGGTTCAAATCCCTCACGAGCTATATCTTACAATTTTGCATTTTTTTTTATTTTGAGACACGGTATTATGAATAAGAAAAAATGACACTTAACATGTCAAAATCTGTTCAGTTGTTATGGTTGTAGGCAGTTACATTTGACATACAAAAAACCTTTTATACGTGAAAAAATTACGTTCCTCCTGTATCAATCATGTAATTACAACCAATGATGAGCTTCCAACACATATTGAAATCCACTGACATTATTTACTTTGAGAAAACTGTGATATGTATGATTACTCTTTTTGTACAGATATTTCGATTTAAACTTTTAAAGGTACTCATTTTTCAGGTACTACTATGATATAAACAAAGATAAATGTGTGATATTCCATTACGGAGGCTGTGGAGGAAATCGTAACAGATTTAATACTAAAAGTGACTGTTTGAATGATTGCAAAGGGACTTAAATGGAAATAATCAAATTGATCATAATCATAACATAAAGCTTTTTAAATAAAAAAAAAAACGACTTCAAACGCATTCATAACATGACGATGATTCACCATTGAGTTTTATTTCTTTATACCGTAGTTCACCGAACTTGTTGTTGTTTGAATTTTAGGAAAGAAAAATAGAGTACTATGTTTAAACATATGTTTCGTCAGTGGAAACTGACCGTTTTACTTTCTGTGTAAACATACAATGGATAGAATTTATCGTCATGCAAACAAAACATCAACCGCTAAAGCCGTAGAGTAGAGTGCATTCGAACGAATAGAGAGTCGTTAGCCGTAATGTGCTTTGGGCATTCGAGAATTTCAATACTTGAACACATTCAGTCGCCCAACGCTTCGAGTTTAGCAACATTTGTAAATGCGAAGAGAAATCACCAGCTTGACGTTATCGTAAATGTGTTTATGGTAATACTTTGTGATTGTGTATGGAAATGTCTGATTCGGCTTGAACTTTCAAATGACGAATTTATATTCGCGACCATCTCGGAATATTTATTTAATCTACTAGTTGTCGCCCACGACTCCGTCCGCGAGGAATTAAAAAAAATCATGAGCCTATGTGCTCCAGAATATGTACTATGCCAAATTTAATCGAGATCCGTTCGGCCGTTCTACAGGTAACTCCAAACAAACATCAATCCATCTATCCATCTAAATATTTGCATTGATAATATTAGTAAGATGTCTATTTAAATACTCAAATCATATTATAAGAAGTGGAAATTGCTGTCTTCACAACAATAGAGCTTACATTACCAACAACAATTTGTTTAATTCATTAATAAAGCATACTGAAGTAACATATTTTATGATGTACGCTTATATGTGAACTTAATCGCAACTTAATTAATATAATAAGCATGTTTACGTTGTATAAGCTTCCAACACAAAGCTATTTGTTCGGAGCTATAGACAACAAAAGCTTTCCACCCGACAAATTCATAGAACGCTAGTAATGTATGAAAGAAGAATCACTTATTTGCAACATGCAGTAAAAATATACGTTATAATAAATATGAATAAACAAAACCTAATGAACTTACTACAAAGTCAAGTTTACAAATTATATACTCTATTTTGTGGGTCAATTGACTTTGTGTCCTTTGACTCGACGAATATCTATTCAATAAACTATTTGTGTGACACCATTATGAGTACCTAAGTTTTTCCAAGAATTGTATTTAACTGTGGCTCTCGTAATTAATAAATTAAGTAATATATCCACTCTAATTTTCCACTGAATTCGTACTCTTCTTTTTAATATTGTCCCGTCTACGTTTACAAGTGCCGTATAAATACTCTTTATTCGAGACGTCACGATGTCTGTCTATATTTGCGTTAGTTTTAGATCTCCAGATAAAATTACTTTGACGGTATTCTCAGAGGAAATTAAATCTCGAGTTCTCATTAAATTATAAAACCTCTCGAGATAACAAGTACACTATATATTAAATAAATTTGTACATTTAATATTATAAATGTACTGTTCGAGGATAAATTTGAAAGACGTGCTTTTTTAATTTATTATACCTATGTTAATAGTATATCTTAAGATAAGTTTCAATTCTTACATTCAACATGTAACTAAGTTTACGAAAATTTTCTATAAAGTAGTATTAAGTTGGTTATTTTCCATTGACTTTTAATTCTGTAATTTAATACTGGCTGTATACAAATAAATTAAGCAAAGGTAAAAATTAAAATTAATAAGACGGAGTGTAGTCTACAAACGACCCGAATCTCTTCATTATTAATTACAAGTAGGCCTTTAGAAAGGAAACAAATTGAGTTATATTTTTCTATCCTCTGTAATCATAGCTCCGGGCCTTTCATTAATCGAAGATCCGATGGCTGTCATTATTTATGTATAGTTCGTATTAATTATATGACAAAGAAGAAATAAATTGGTTGCTTTAACCATTTAATCAGAGGTGTATTATATTATATGTTATGTTTACTTGACGCAAATACTAAAACATTATTTTTTATCATTTCGTAACTTTCATCATAAAAACTCAGAACAAATTCAATAGATAATCCAGCATATAGAAGTTTAGTTGTAATGTCAATTCTCTTAAAACAAAGCAAATTATTTGAATTATTTTAAAAATAACTTTTTACAAGCGTTGCCCTCTCGCTTTACCGCATTTTAATAACAAAATTAGTAAAAGAGAACATACAAAATACTCGTAGTAAATAGTTTAAATGTGCTTTGAATCCATATTTTTACCTTTTAATAATAATCATAAAATAATTTACCACCAATAATTACAAAATTATGCATGGGTTTTCATGTAAATAAAAGTAAACATCGATTTATTTCGGTTTATGGTATAACTAAAGTTATCTTATACCAGACTATACAAATATTATGCGTAATTGTGTTTAAAAAAAATTAAACTGGCTCGTGAAGGAATTGAACCTCCGACCACCATTTGAGAATGGATGCTCTAACCGCTAAGCTAACGAGCCGATATTATGTTGCATGAAAGCCTTTATTGCATTTATTTGTATTACATAACAGTATTGCATTCTAACTTCGCGTAGGTGAATATTTTATCAGTCTGTTAGCAAGAGATTAAAGATGTTAACTTTCTGCCAGCTCTAAATTATAATTAAATAGCATTTACTTTAATTTTAGCTTAAGGTTATTGTCTATTAAATTTAAGTAACCTTTATATAATTCATGTTGAAATTCATACATTAGAAGAGGAAGATACTTTTCCAATTTTTGTAACAAATAAGTATAAATCAGTATACCTATAAATCGTAGCAAACAACGCTACATTTCTACAAAGTACGATGCTACGGTTTTCGTAGATACGCTTTAGATGTTTTGACTCCCAAAGGATCTGATTAAACATTTCCTACTCGTAACCTCAGTACAGCTACAAAGTTGACGAAAGATGGCGTTCTACACATTTTGTAATATTATTAATAATTATCTTTTAAGTTTTCTTTAATTCCCTCATAACTTTATCTGTCGGTAAATAATGTAAAATTACTTAAGAACGGTACAAAATTAAAAAGTCAGTAGTTCTTACAAGCTTTTTGAAAATCTTTAAAAGATTCCTGAAAATCCTGAAACTGATTTGAGCGTCATCTGTAGTATTGCGAGTCTAAATGGAGGTTGTTTTGCAGAGGCATAAATTTCCTTTTTTGTTTATTAGCTTAAGGCTTTTTAAATTAAAGTGAATAATCTAGACTAAATCTAGTTTTTAAATTCGAAAAAACTAGAATAAGTTCTTATTTTATAAGTATGAAAGTAACGGCTCGTTAGCTTAGCGGTTAGAGCAACCATCTAAGAATGGTCGTCGGGGGTTCAAATCCCTCACGAGCTAAATTTTTTTTTTAAGTTTTTGCATATTTCTTCATTGTTGTTCAGTTAATACTTAATAAGTAATCTCTTAGCTAAATAACCAATATTTGTGTAAATCGGGACCATTACTTTAGAAATAGAACGTAAACAATTCAGTTTATATAACTCATAAATAAATAACTTATATTTAATAAAAACTTTACCTTCTAATTTATTATAAAAATAAGTAAACTCATGTAATTAATACACAAATTAAAAATACGTCATAAGTAACTCAATCTTTAGTAAAAGTCAGTATCAATCGTAGCTGCGCGCTGAGTAGAGTGCTACGTATTCATAGATCAACCTCTACGTCATCCGTTTTGATGCTACGGTAGAGAGAAATAATTGAAAGAACATAGCTACAATGAAGTGTTTGCTACGACCAATAGTGAAATATATAGAGATAAAAGATATAAGAGAAAATCTTTTTTTGTATTTTTAGATCAGAAAAATATACATTAAACAAAATTAGAATTTTTAAACATTTACCTTCTTATTATCCTTGTATAATTACATTGTTGATTGAAGATGACGTTTATTTGGTATTACCTAATTTATTAAATTTTCTTTCCTTTTTAAATTGTTTCTATTTAATATGTACGCTTTCGGTGTGATTAACTTTACCTTTACTTTTCGCAAAACAATTGACATTACTATTACTACGAAAAATAAAAATCTATAAGACTTATGTGTTATTAGCTTTTTACAAATTCGAAGAAACGCCTGAAAATCCGTTCTTGATTATCCAGAAAGTGTATTGAGCGCCATCTGTTGTTAAATGCACATTTAATGAAAGGTAGTACTTTTAACCAGAAATTCCTTTTTATTTTGCGGTGTAATAAAGTTTTCTCGTATTAAATTGCTTCATTATAAATAATAATATCATTTTTGAATGTGTAAAACCAAGAATAAGTTCTTACTTTATAACAGTGAAAGTAACGGCTCGTTAGCTTAGCGGTTAGAGCAACCATTTCTAAATGGTCGTCGGGGGTTCAAATCCTTCACGAGCCTACATTTTCATTTTTGATTTCCTTTTTAAAAAATACAGTAAATTATGACTTATTTTACATTATATTTAAAGTAAGTGGTTTTCATTACATTTCGTAAAATATTTAACTTCACACAACGATAGAAATTGGGCAGAATTGGAAAATAAAAGTCTTAAAGGGTTGTTTGATAATCCTGAAATTGATTTAAGCGCCATCTGTAGTGACATGCACATTGAAGGAAGAATTCATGTCAAGGGCAAATTCCTTGTTATTTTTCAATGGAATGTAGCGTTCTAAAATTAAATTGCTTAATTTTTCATGATTTTATTTCATTATTGAATGTTTAAAAACCGGAATAAGTTCATACTTTATGGGTATGAAAACAACGGCTCGTTAGCTTAGCGGTTAGAGCATCCATCTATGAATGGTCGTCGGGGGTTCAAATCCCTCACGAGCTAAAAATATTTTTTTTTAAAAAAGGGTTTTTGCATATTTCTTCATTGTTGTTCAGTTAATACTTAATAAGTGATCTCTTAGCTAAATGACCCAATAAATGTGTAAATCGGGACCATTAGTTTTAAAATAGAACGTAAACAATTCAGTTTATATTCTCATAATTAAATAACAAATACTAAATAAAAACTTTACCTTCTAATTTACTTTAAATTAAAATA